CATTTGGCTGAACAAGATGTTCCTGTGCGAGGAACCACAACAGCGTTTTTCCTGATTTCCATAAACCATGCTAGCAGCTTTTGTTCCTACTGTTTTGAGTAGGATACATTCCTCTGGCTAGTGTTATATGGACAATGTGTCCATCATTTCCTATCATCTTTTGGTCAGGTGAACTCCAGGTCGGAGCGATGGTGTTCCTGATGGAGTGATAATGCAAAGAGATACATAGAAACATTGTCCCAAATCAACTTGGGTGTTGTTTTCCCAAGGAGATGTCAAAAGCGTCCAAACAGTGGTTTGGTGCATCAGGGTAGGAATGTGCCTGGCATGACTGGTGTACAGGGCCTGTCCTGGGTATCAAGGAGCCATCAGACAAAAATGCCTCATGGAACACCTCCACCTGCTACAGCAGTGTTGGAGGACATGTGCAGCCCTAAGCCATGACTTCACCCTTGCTGCTGGTATCAGGCACGTAGTGGGCATCTCCTCATGGTTTCTGGTCTTCTTTAAGTGCGTCTGTGGTGAGCTTCTGTCTGATGGGAATTTTCTTAGCAAATACATTGCCACTCCTGGCGGGAACTTTCTCATGCCAAGGGTTGTAGGAAGAAACTAATTTGCAGGGCGAAAGGCACCCCATAAATAAGGGGAAGCACAGTGGATCTCCCAGGAGGCTGCATTTCTGGCCTGGACCACAGTCAAAACAACAACAGCATGCAGGTGTTTTGTCCATGACATTTTTTAATGGGCTTAAGGTGAAGCATTAGGACAAGGAAACTCAGACTCTGGCTATCAAGTTAGTCTGACACAGCTCTCACATGCCTTTGTTCGATCCCTGTGCTCCTCTCTTAGCCCTGAGAACATTTCACAGCAAACTATTCCTCCCTTCTGCTCCTGCAAAATAGGTGGCAAAATATGCATTGCCACCAGGGTAAGCAATGGCAACCACAGGCCCAAACACAATTTTTTTTTCCTCTCTTGAATAAAAATATGTCATGGACCACATACATAACCTAAGTACTTTCCAGTAATGGCCATTTTTTTAAAACTCATGTTTTTACTAGAACAGTGTTGAGACAACCCAAGTTGCCAGCTAATGTCACTGTCACTTCCAGCACTCCCTAATCGGTCCCATCCTGAGCAGGCAATATCCCTTCTTCATTGATTAAACATCACATTTTACCAACTTCTTGGCCAAAGGCCTTCAAGACCCTTGTTCCCCAAAGAGGAGGGAGAAAATTCAGCATCCTTGTGTGGCTATCCAAGAGTTTTGAGTCAAATTTTCCAGCAGAGAAGGCCCATGGTGCTATCACACAGCCAATGCATGTTCTGAGCAGTGTCCCAGCTCTGCCAGGGGCAGGGTAAGGCTCTGAGGCTGCTCCAGCATTTTTTCCCACATGTTCAGCCCATGCATGAGTCCTTCCCAGCCCATAAATCTTTGCTGAGATGTCTTTGACAGAGGGAGTGAGCTGATCTCCCGACACAGGGCTGTCCTGGCAGAGAAAATAAATATTTAGCTGAAAAACATCTAACAGTTTTCAAAGAGCCCGGGATGGCCCAGCGTGTTTAGACTGAGTGCATAGCAAAGGGTGCTGCTGTCTTTAATCATCCTCGTATGTATTCCACGCTTTTATCTGCAGTTCTTCACAGTCCTCCACAGAGAGGTTTGTCTTGTTCATCTCTGCATCTCAGATAAGGAAATGGAGGCGCAGCCAGCAGGGGCTGGGCTTGGGGTGCCACATTTGGAGCCATCCTTCTTTGTGTTCCCTCTCCATTGCCGGCATTCCTCCAACAAGATGACATGAGAAGCATTTTCCTGTTTCCACGTTTTCCTGGTGGTGATGGTGGTCCTTGTGGCTGGTGCCACTTGTGCCCATATCTCAGCAACAATCCCTGTATCCCACTATGCCCCTTGCCCCTGGATGCAGCCAGGAGACAGGTTTGCAAACTGGCTCTGAATTGCAGACGAAAAACAATGCTGCTTTCTGTTCTGATGTTTTGCATTGTGGAGTAACATCTCGCCAGCAGGCTCAGCTTTATGTATTTATTACTCCATTTCAAGATGCTTTAATATAAAGTAATTAGTCCTGAAGGTAGCATTAAGCCAAGAACAAATTAGGCTGTAACATAACGTCTCCTCTGCCTGGGTGCTCTGTTTTTTGGGAGCCCAGCAGGTGAGACTCCTGCCTGGGCTCTGCCTGAGCTCTGTAACCAAGAGCATCACGAGGGGGTGCAGTGTCCAGGGGTTGAAGACAGGATGAAGTCCGGGGAGCCCTGCCTGGAGCAAATTGCTGCTGGTGGGAGGTGTCAAAGGGAGGCTGCCCTGATCCCAGCCTCCCATCAGCTCTCATCATGACTGAAGAGGAGCCAGCTGAGTCCTAAGACAAGAAATGAAGCATGGTTTTCTTTGGAAGCTATGTGGGCTTTAATGAGAGCCTGACCCAGGATCTTATAATCTATTTTTTTTAAATAATTCTTTTTGAATTAACACATACAACAATTTTTAAACCAGATTTTCACAGAAACTTTTACTGAAAACAACAGTCCAGTAGCCTCAGAAGTATCCTGCCCAGCCAATACACCCCTATGGAAAAATTGTGGTAAGCTGATGGGTCATTCTCAGATGGAAGCTGCCTGAGCAGGAGCTGGCCCCAGACTGGGGAAGGAGCATCCCCATGCATCCCCAGGCATAATACTGAAGTTGTCTACCCAGTAGTGTTTTATAGATCACCCTGCTTTTCCCTATTTCCCCATTTAGCCACAGAGAGAATCTCTGCAGAGGATGAGAAGTGTAAACCCAGTTTTTGTATAAGAAAGCAAAGTATACCTTCATGTCCTGGGAATCTCATCACACCTAGCTTTGCCAGCCCCATCCATCTTCCAGCCCCATTGGTCTAGGGGACTTGGGTGACATCCCAGGCTGGCCTACAAGGCATATGAACCTTTTCAGAGCCACCTTTTCACAAACTAAACTAATTTTTCAGGACTTGCATTCTTAAGGCCACCAGCTTTCCAAGAAATTCAAAATCCTGTAAAATTCACCCAAATCCCAAAATCCCTCATGGAAACAAAGGCTGAGCTGGCTATTTTTTGCAGAAATGTTGGCAGGCTTCCAGCTTTCTGAAATGCAGCTCTGCCAAAAGAAAAATCTTTTGTGGGTAAAATCACGTAGTGGTGGTTTTGGAAAGACAAGTAAAAATAAGGCATTTCAGAAAAAAAAAAAGAAAAGAAAAGGAAAAAGCCTTTAAAAATAGTTTTGAAGTTGTCTTTATCCCCAAGTCTGGAAGAGGAAGGGTCACACTTATTTTTCATCTGCTTTTCCCTCTGCCCACTGAAGGAGAAAGGGGCAGGTGTTTTATTTTTAAGCTCCTGTTCCTGCTGCAGATGCAAGAAAAGCCATTTTCCCCAAAGCTGGCTGGAGCTTTCTGTGCTGGAACAGATGCGGGAAGCTCTGTCTGCACCAGCTATGGGAAAATAGAGCTTGGAGAGGGTTTTGGGGACTAGGAAATTATTTGTGAGTGGCCAAATGAGGGTTGGGGTAGCTCAGTATTATCATTTCAGGGCAGTCATCAGGGGCTTTCTCACAGGGAGGTCTGCAAAGATTAAGTGTGTGCTGCTGCAGCACCTCATCAGGAAAGGGCCTTTGAGTCTCTCGTCACAGCTGGTTTTGGAGTGGTGAGAGCAGGGGGAAGAGCAGCACCCAGCCCTGTGCCACCACATCAAGGTGCCCATGGAGAAGGGACTCACATTCCTGAGCTGCCCCTCAGCTCTGGGGAGCATGAATGGGCAGGGAGGCACCTCACTCCCTGATGCCATTGCTCTTCCCAAACCCTTAATAATCTCCTGCGAGTGCAAGGACCAGAGCTGCACAAAGCCCTCAACATGTTGACGCACAGTAGCTTTAGAGAGGCAAGGGGGCATTCTAAGTTTTCCTCCTTTCCTACCTTTCCTGATACATGGTTTACCTCCACTGCTGCCAGATGAGGAAATGTCTGGGTGAGAATGGCTGCCAATACCCCGAACTCTTGTGTCCAAGTGGCAGGGACCAGGTAAGAGCGTGCCACTTGCAAGTTGAAGCACAGCATCATTTAGTACACTCCTGCAATGACTTCTGTCCTCTCTGAGTTCCATAACAGCTATTTGCAATTCCCCAGTCTACCTTCTTTACCATCCTAAATAACTGTCCATCATGAAGCAATCCCTTAATTTCTAGTGACCACCTTATCCAGCCCATGACATATGGCACAAGCAACTTCCCTTCCTGGAGAAACACCCCCTCTGCTTCCTAGATTTAATCTGCAGTGGGAGGACTTTGATTTTTGTGACAGCTTTTGTGCCTCTGTAGAAGCCAGTGGAAATATGAGACAGTCCACCCTTGCCTGTGCTTTTTGAGCCCTTCAGAGGTTTGTGAGATGTGACTTCCCTTTGCAAAAGCCCTGTCAACTCTCCCCAGATAATTAATTGCATTCTTTGATATAGTTTCTGGTCATTTGGCTAGCACAGGCATGAGGTACAAACACCAAGAAACCTCCCGAAGGCATTTTTTAATGTCATGTGAAAAAACAGTGCAGCTGCCCTGGTCCAGGAGCTGTTTGCTTGTTTTCTTGTTCAGGAGGATGCAAAACCTTCCCATGCATTAACTGCTGCACAACCTCACAGCAGCTTCTCACCTTGCCTGGACCCCTTAATCCCCATGAAAATGGATTTAACACCACTGTATTAAAGAAGGCAGCTAATAGAGAGGCTGCTGGGAATTTATTAGCTGGGCTCTTGGGAGGCAGAGCTTATAAAATAGAAACTTAATGAACAGCATGCTGGACAATGGAGTTTAAATCATACCTTGCAATCTACATACTCCAACTCTTCACCTCTGAGGCTCGTCATCAGTGGAAGCAGCTACATCCATGAGATCCTAGCAGGGGATCCAGAGTCACTCTAGAACCCTGGGCATGAGTGAGGTGGGAGCCAGGACAGTTGATTTAGATGATTTACAGAGTTAGTGGCAGAGTGGTAGAATTAACTGATTTATTTGAAAATTTAAAAAAAACACACCAGAATGATGAGAGGAACTGTATTACACTTGTTTGGGGTTTTGTTAAACATAAACAACAGCACATGTTTTAGAATTTAGCTTTGTTAATAGTACTGCAAGATGTTCAACACCTGAAAACACCTTCCCCGTGCAAAGACTTGCCAGACACCTGTGACGCACCACCAACTCTTGATTAGGCACAGGAAGGAGAGGCAGTGGTCAAAAAATTCAGTCAATCTAGTTTTAGGCTTCCTAATCCCAACTCAGAAGTGGTGAAGCCACATGAGAAAGCACTGATCCAGGATGAACTTGCTCTACCGGTTCAGTTTTTCCTTTTTTTTTTTTAAACAGGCTTCCTTTGAGGCATCAGGCTTCAACCCAGTTCAGGTACCTGCTCATCTGTACATTTCGTTTCCTTCCAGAGTAGCCACAAACCCTCCCCCAGTGAGAGACATCCAGCCAGCCCAAGCTGTGCACAGCTCAGGGAAAGGCAACACATTTGTGTCAGAAATCTTCAGTCACTCCCCCTGCCCCCATGAATATCAAATCTCAGAGCTGACACTGCAAAGGTAGACATCAAATTGTGGTATCTGTTCCTGTCACGCTGAAGAGAAGCAGGGAAAGGAGCCGTGGCTGCCCGCAGGAGATTTGCTGACAGCACCAGGGCTTGAGGATGCTCTGCACCGATGGCCAAGGGAATGACAAACCTCCCACTGCTCCCCTGAAATCCCAGGGAGAGTCCACTTGGATCTGCACTTCAAAGAAAGTGAGCTACCAAGGAAAGAACAAGATCAACTGTGTGTGCAAGTGTGCTGGGTGCCTGTTGGCAGCCCTCCTTGCACTGGCAGGAGAAGAGAGCCACAGCCCAGGCATCACAAAGGTGCACGGGGCTGCTCAGGACCTTTTCCTGAACTTTTCCAGGGTAAAACTAAAGGAATTCAAGCCAGGGTTGTGAATAGCTGATCCAAGAGAATGTGGGAGCAAAACATTTGCAGACACAAGACTGTAATTGGAATGGAGAATAAGAGAGAAAAGCACAAAGAAATTGATACAGGAAGGAAGGACCAGCACATGCCCAATTCTTTTTTCTCCCTTTCAAGTATCGGCCACAATGTGCCAGAGGTCCCAGGCCACTGTGCCTGATGGACCTCAGGATTCTGAAGCTTCCAGTGGCCTCTTCCAGTGTCTCCATGTGACTAGTCCCAGCCGAACAGCAAAGATCAAGCATGTCAGTGCCAGCAGAACGACTGGGGAAAAAACACAGAAGCATATTAGAGCATAAAAAAAGACAGTGGTTCTTGTCATACTAAAGTATGCTCCCAGAACAGGGGGTATTCAGGAAAAGAGAAAAAAACCACAATCGCCTGTACAGGATCCATTACCCCCAGAGTTGTATCTCTCAGAGTTTTACTGATATACAGTAAAACTTGCCCAATGCTTCCAGGTGAAGGGGGAGGCTTCCTGGACACAGGAGTTAAAGTACATTACATTAACAAAATACTCCAAGAATAGTTAAACTATATAAAGAAACATGTTCTAGCTTGGGAAAAGCACATTCTCATCCTACCAGCCAAACAAGCTGAACCACTTATAATGAAGTTTTGCTGGTAAGAAATGTACCTACTGCAGGAACAGAGCTACCTGCCAGAGACCATGCACACCTCCACATTCCTGATGGCTACAACCATCAGGAGACAAGCCTCCGGTGCCCCTGTGACTGTGGCAGACAAGATTTGTCAAGTCCTGCTGGGTGCTTTCAGACATGACCAGGCTCCAGCTGCACTTACAGCAAAGGAAACTGTACTGGAGCAACTCCAGTGGTGATGCCAGTCCAGAATTTAGCTTTAGCCACTGCTATGTGGCAGTGGGAAGGCTGAAGGGTGGGAACATGCTCCCTTCTGCTGACCCTGTGGTGGAAATAGGTATTTCAAACTATTCCAGCAGGATTCAGAGTTCACACAGATCAGTCCCTTTCATGCCAGCATAAAGCTGTTTATAATGGTACAGCTTCTGCCAGACTGTGATTGTACAGAATTCAGACAGCTTAAGCCCTTTTACCACAGATGACTACACTCAACTCTGCTAGAGTGGCTCGCAGCAAACAGATAATCCCAGGAAAACTTGTTAAGGCTAGCCTGAGCTCTGCATAGGAGAGGAGCATGTGCATGGGTTTGCACTGTGAAGCCCTCTGCGGGTCAGGAGCTCATGCACTGCTCCAATATGCCTAACAATACAGGGCAAATGGAAGTCCACAGCCTTCATCCCAGCCTTGCTTTTCCTTTGGCCTGCCCTTTGTCAGATGCAGCTGCTGGAGGAGCCAAGTGGGTGATGGAAGATTGCAGGACAAACATATTGCACTAGGAAGTGAATTTGAGAAAACACAAGGTTTGGGTTCAGCCCCAAGGCTCATGGGTAATGATTTCTGCTCTGCTCTTTCCTTAGCAAAATTAATACCTTCAAATATGCCCCTAGTTCTGCTTTTAACAAATAATGCTTTTCAAGTGGCAAGTCTCTCTGCCCTCAATACAGAGGAAGAATGTGAATTGTTTATTGGCCTTTGGAGTTACGAAGATTCACCTATAAAGACGTCGTTGGTCAGTGGGGATGAAAATGACCTGTTCCTGCACGCACTGCCAGTCAGAGCTGCTATGACCACTGGGTAGACTGTGAGGTTATAGCAGACATACTTGTCAAGAAAGTAGTTTTCTAGATAAAACCTGTGAAGAAAAAGTGACCCAAGTAAGAATTTCCTCTGTATTTTTTTTCCATTCCCTAAGAAAGGAATTAGAGAAGGGGGGTTTTGTGGGCCAGCTGGGACAAGAGTCCAAAATTCTTCATTTACTAATATTAAAAAAATTCATAAACAATTTATTTAAAGTAAGTTTAGGGAAAAATAAAGCCAGATTTCATATGGTTTCTGTATCACACCCTCACCTGTAAAACTAAGGAAGGTTGGGCTCATGCAAGTCACAAAAGCATATTCCTGGCCCACAATGCTTATTGGCATTGCAAAAGTTGGGAGATAAAAGCTCTGCCCAGACTCTCATTCATCTGCCATGAATTATAACAGAGGCCTTTGTAGTCGGTGTTGGGAGAGGGACAAGTAATGAGTGAATTGGAACAGATAGTCACCACTGGTGAGAGGTGGAAGGGGTTTCTGAGGCTCGGTGGGCACCCTTGGGGTCACTTACCATACCACCAGGCCGAGAGCCAGGATGCTCAGGGAAGCAGTGGTTGCTTTCTCATTGGTCACATTCCATTTGTAGATCAGCACGACGGCGAAGTTCAGCAGCATGGCGATGCTGGTCCATGTCACGTACAGTGCCAGCCCATTCTGGACCTGCCATGCAGCACAGCAAGAGGACAAGCGTGACACACAGGTAATCTCTGTTTGTCTTTGGTCACCTGTAGGCCCCGGTGCAGTAAAGCCAGCCTTCTGGACCTAGCTGCAGAATAAGACCCCCAACACACAGAAGAAATTAAGTCTTGGAGTCCCAAGGGGCTGTAGAGATCCAGCCCAGCTGTGTGTTTATAGTGCTGTTTCAGGAAGTGTAAAGAACAGAGCCCACTCCCAGTTTGTGCCAAGACATGTAGATGTCTTTCCAGAAGGGTTGCTAGAGTTTTTCTGTGCAGGGCAGAAATCTTTCCTTAACTATGTTCTACCACTGGATCGTTCTCTCTGATACCTCCAGCACTGCACAGAGGTTGGATTTTTTTTACCATTTACCCACAGCACAGCTTCTCAAAAGCCACCTACCAGAATGCGGATGAGCCAGAGCTCAGCTCTGTGACCCTTCACAAACCATGAGGAATGGATGCTCAAGGCTCGATGGGAAACAAACAGGGAAGCACATGTGGTAAGAGAGAGGACTGCCAGGAACACCAGGGCTGGAAGAAGGTATCTAGGACAAAGAACATGTATGCACACAATAGACATCACATTTTTCTCAGTGGTGTCACAATGCCCTAATTTATAGCTTTAGTGTTTGGCCTTTGCTGGCATTAAGTTAATCAGCCTTTAATAAAGGTAATCACTACACATAGTCCTCATTTTGACATATTGCTGTTGCTGTTTTAATCTCTTAACCATGAAGTTGTTTTCCAGACTGCAAGTGATTTCTTTACCTCTTGACAGTGGTGCTCTCATAAGCCCTTAATGTGTCCATCATTATGGAAACAATCCAAGGCAAGGAGCCTAACTGCATTAATGAAGAGAGGCATGGTTCCTGTCTTACCTATGGAGTTAAAAATGTAGAAGAAAAGCAGCTTTGAGGAAATCTTAGACTTCAGTGACCAATCTGTTTCATGGGCAAGGTGACAACATAATGCAAAACCCCCAGACTTTTATGAAGGCTACATTTTGTCAAAGCCTGGCATAGAGTTTTAGAGGTTTAAGTGTTCACACACAGAGGAAAAAAAACATAGAGGGAAAAAAAGTACTAGGGCAATCCCATCAAAAATGTTAGAAAGTATTTGTAACAAAAGACAACTTACTCTCGGTCCCACAGAAAGAGCCATCCAACATTGAGGCCATTATTCAAACACCAAGCCACATAAAAAGGTATTGGCAGCAAGTCTGGCTTTATGAAGTCATATCCAAGTTCATTCCTGCCAGGAAAAAGTGGGTAAGTGGGTATGAAGAAAGGAAAACAATGTCTGCACTGACCAAACAAACATTTCTGGCCTCAATTTCCTTATATTAGAGGGACTTTACATCGGAATTAAATATTTTGGCTTAAATCAGACTATTTCTCCTCTGTGTCCTTCTTTGATACAATACAGAAATACCTGTGGCTTTCCTTATCAGGCAGTGTTGGGGGTTGAATGCTTCCCTTTTCTTTCTGTGAAATTTCTCCCATTGTTATGCTAAGTGGCTACACCTTAAGGTAATGTTCTCTTGCAGGGAGGTGGGTGGAGGGGGGGGCACCGGAAAAAGGAAAGGTGGGACGGGGGTTGGGAGCGGGCTGGAGACTCTCTCGCTTGGCTCGTGGAGGGAGATGACGGCTCTCCCCTGCCATCCCAGCGCTGAGATCCACGCTCTCTGCCGTTGGACATCGCTCTGCTGCTCTCCCACCTCACCCTACTACCTCGGGACACTCTGCTGAGCACCACGACCGACACCGTGAGGGGGAGTCGCCTCCCCATCCCTCTCACCCCTGGGCCGCTGCCTCCATCACCCAGCCCTCTTCGACTGCGCGGGACCTGCCCTGCCCACAGCACCGGTAACTGAGCGCAGGGAGACGGCCTGCGGCCAAAAGGGACTGGAACTGAGTTATACTGTTCTGTTCTGTTGTCAGTTTTTATAGCTGTTGTTGTTTTCTGCCTTGTTAGATATCAGTAAAGAACTGTTATCCCCACATCTCCTGCCTGAAGGCCTCTGATTTAAAACTAAAATAATTAAAAGGGAGGGGGTTGCATTCTGCATCTCAGGAAGGGGGCTCTTGCCTTTCCTTAGCAAATACCTGTCTTTCAAACCAAGACAGGCAGTTACTGATCTCATAGCCCCAGGAAAAGCTTCCAGTCCAGTTCAGCAAACCAAGAGACTCCCCAGTACTGGTTGTTTGATTTCTGACAGAAAGAAAACTCAAAGCATTAGGTCTGTAATCCACTAATTTTGCTCCTGTGTATTCTCAGCCTCTAGCAGTGGGTAAATGTGGGTACTGGATAAATCTGCCAGATTCCCTGAATCGCTGGAAACAAGGCCTCACAGAGGAGTTTACACACTTTGATATCTGTCCACACTTTAGAGGATCAACATGTCAAGTCAAGATAAATGGCAATGGGTTTGCTCTTGTAGAAACCCCTGAAAGGGAGGTAAGAGACTGAGCTACTCCGAAAGGGAAGAGTCACTGTCCTTTCTCATATATACTGTAAACAGTAAATAGGGAAAATACCTTCGACAGATCCCTGACAAGGCGTAGAGAAGCCAGGCAAGCTGCCAGGCGTAGATAACATTCCAGATGAGGAAAGTCCAGCCAGCTGGTGTGAAATCAGTGCTGTACTTGGCCGAGATGTTTCCAGGGGTTGTCCTGAACAGACCTGCAGTGGTGAATGTTATTGCAGGCAAAAGTGTTACATCCAGATGACGGGGAAAGACTGCTGATTTTCCTCAACCTTCAGTCTTCCTCCCTACCTCAGTGGGTTCAAGGAGGATGAGAGCATGCCCTTGATGCAAACCAGCCATGTGCTGCAGTTGGTTTAGACATCCATTATGGAATCACGGTCCCTTATTGGGAACACCATGCACCTTCCTTCTTACACAGAACCAGAAAAACCAGTTGTCTGTGTAATCCAGAGGATAGCATGAAGGCAGTTTCTGGCAGATTCAGCCAGGTAGTGTTCAAACACAGCACCATTGTCATCTACAAACCCACAGCAGCAGCCTGAACATCTTCCACCACGGATACAAGGGTCTGCCTTTCAACCACCACTAGATCCAGGTTCATTGGGGACATTTACTTGGATTTCAAGGGATTAGATAAGGTTCAGGCGTTTGGCTGTAACACCTGAAGGATGCACCAGCTACTTCCACCTTGCACAGAACAAGTTGTATTTGGAGAGTTGATGAGGCAGCAAACACATCTATCCCTTGTAAATCACCTCGTATCATTGCATGATATAAAGCATGAATGAAGAAAATTTGCTGGCATTACCTTTGAACGTCCCAGTGGCATTTCCAGCATTCATTATCACCATGACCGTGAAAGTAGCCAGAGACAGAAACATCACCAAAATCTTCAACTTATGTAGAGCATCCATCTTATTCTGAAACACATTGGAGATATTGTTGGCTTATCCTAAAGGAAGCCTGGATTTGTTTTCACATTCCAGAGACTGTTTTAGAAATAATGTAAATTCACAAATTTTTAACTACCAACTTTTATTTGTGAAGTTTTCATTAGAACTAAAGAGGCCTTTGGATGGGCTAGGAGCATCTCCATTTGAAGAGATCTCGTGAGGTTGCAGAATGGAAATAGGAAACTTTGGGAGAGCCACTTGCTCTGCCACCCTCCATTGCAAGAGCCATAACTTAGGTTTGCCTAAGGTTTTCACAAAGACCTAAATAATTAGCCCACAGAATTAGCTTATCTGGCATTACTGTTGCAGTTTTACTGAAGCAGACTTATCAATTTTGCCCACTCTAGGAAGCAAATATGAAAATGTTGAAGTCTTTGCTTTGCAGCCAAGTGCCTTTTAGTTCAACTTAACTTCTCACATTTACCTGTCTAATCCTATAACTTCCACAAATGAGCTTCCTTTCATGGTGGTATTACTTCCTCGTCTACTGGCTGCAAATAAGCTTTAAATGCTTTAGCATGTCTCAAGAACTTTATTGACTATAAAATCCACATTCTACAATTTTTCAAGGTTGGTAAGTAGTGACTTGAGCTTTCCCAAGTGATTTCCATTAGTCCAGCATTTATTCTATCCCAGAAGTTCAGTGCCACCTCTAAGAATAAGTACACATGCACCCAACTATAGGCAACAGCTTTATTTCTCCTCACAGCTCAGCACTTGAGCTGCTTTCTCTCTACAGTGGCCCTTCAATGCTTTCCAGAGTTGGCAGGAGTAACAATTGAGTTGTTTCACATTGCTCAGTCTTGAATAATAAATTCTAGTTCCCACTTCAGTGGATTGTTTTATAGTTCCAGGCTTTGTTCACAGAATGCGCTTCCTCCAGACACGTCACAAGGAAGTGGGAAGGGAAATTCTGTTTTCTGTGAATCCATACATGTTTTTCCCTTTTCAGTTCTAGCTTAAGAAAAAAAAACCTTTTAAAAAATAAAAATTAAAATCCCATATGGAAAAATGCAAGATATGAAATCCCAACTCGATTTACGTCAGTCAAATCACAGAACAACATGTTGTCTTCAACAGATACACTAAATTAGCAAATTCTGGCAAGAAAAATCCATTGTTGTACTATTGTGTTGTACTATTGTATTGTACTATTAGAGATATCGTTTCTGGCTCAGGAAATAACTGACATGCAGATTTCTGAAAGCCATGAAAACGTAGGAGAAAAATATCACTGTACACTTGTCAATGATCAAGGAAAGAATATAAGAATAGGACATTCTTCTGCTCCAAACCAGTACACAGGACTAGATGGTCCTGTGATCTCCCTGTCAGGCCAAAGCTCTATCCTCCCATAGTCCTGTAGTTAGCTTCAGCATCACATTTCTTTTTCACTAGCATATTTGGAAGACCTTGATTGCACAGCTTCAGAGAAACCCATATTTGCTTATAGAAGTCTAAGAGGAAAGCCTTATTAAACAGGTCAATAGTTTCACTAGTGTCTCTCACCTCCTGCCTCCCTCTAACTTACTGCTTGCAATAAATGTCTGAAATATTTCCTGCCTGCAGTCCCCAGTCACAAACATCCATTAGAAGAATCAGATATATTACTCACAGGAATCCACACGGGCTTTATGGCAGCGTTTTACAGTTGTGGTTCAGCTACAAGAAGCAGTGCTGGGGAGTCTCCGCCTCCTAACCTTACCTAAAAAGATTTCATACAACTCTCAGCAGATTAATAATGCCTTATTATTAAAAGAAAAATAAAAACTTATAGAAGTTAGACATGCTTTCTGTCTGTGTGCTGCTGCAGCCTCCGATTGGCTAAAGCCTCCCAAAAACAAGCGCTTATGCAAGAGAAATGTGATTACTTAACCAAAGACTTTTATAACAGCCAGACATTTGGTATAACATTGCATGTTCCCAACTTGTTGGCAGACAGAGGCTAATGAGTGCATGCTCTGGCCTCTTGCCTGCTTTGTCCTTCCCCATCCCTGCCAGGAGGAGGGAAACTGAGCACTTAATGCAAAATATTGCATCTCAAAATCTTAGAGCTCCTGAGTGGGAGATGCTGGCAGGGGGTGCTGGTCAAACAGAATGGATTTGGGGTTTGAGGAAGATGGAGATAAAAATGGCTTGAATTGGAAGGGACCTGAAAGATCATGTGGCTCCAACTACCCCCCTGCTGTGGGGAGGGACACCTTCCACTACACCAAGTTACTCAAAGTCCCACCCAGTCTGGCTTTAAACATTTCCAGAGAGGAATACACAGATATCATACACAGAACCACAGAAAAGTTTAGGTTGGAAAAGACCTCTAAGATCCAGTCTAACCATAAGTAGCATAGATCCATAGTCTGATCTGGGTCACGAGCAAACTTCTGTTCTTTGATATAGAAAAGGCTCCTGCCCCCCAGTGCAAGCCCACCCCACTGAAGCAATGCAAGCCATGCAAGCTGATCAGTGTCTGCCTGCACCTCTATGTGCTACAGAGCCACCGTCTCCCCATATCCACTCCTGACATTTTATATTTCTGCTTGTTTCCTCTCAAATTTAAAATTTATAGCCAAATTGAAATATTCTTCAGCATCAAAATGCTATTTACCTTGTGCAGCCATAGAAAGCAGACAGTCTGGCTGGGAACTGACCCATGTCAAATATAAAGGCAGTGAATTAACTAGCATCTGTCTTCATCCATTGGAAACAACATCATGGGACTGGAAATTAACCCAGCTGGAGTTTTCTTGGCCATTGAGAAAGGTGGATGCCTATATGAACATGGATTTGCCAGCTGTGGGAAGTGCAGGCCATCCAGCCAGCATTGCTGCTGTCTACTTATCAGTGTAGGTGTGAGGTCCACCCTCTGAAGGCATTCTGAGGTCCACCCTTTAGAGGTATTCTGCTGTGGAAACCAGTAGTTTAAGTATGGTTATTTCTTATTAGCCAGATAACATGTTGTGCTCCACACATGGATCAAAAACAAGAGCTGCTTGAGCTAATTGTGCATAGCATGTTCCTTGAAGAAGACAAAGGCCTGAGCTCAGAGCATGGCGGTATTGGCATTTTTCTCTCCTTTTTTCACTTTATGAATCCCCCAGATATGTACACAGTGACTCTGCCCATGTCCTAGAAACTGCCTTCAAGTGACAAGTTTGTAAGCACTTGTTGCAGTAAGCATGGGCTGAAATACAAGCAGAACCATTATAAACACTGTATAGCCTCTCCTCCCAGTAGATTAAAATCTACAATGCACCTTTTCCCACACTGGACCATGTCTTATTTATGACCCTCTTATATATATCAAGTGTGTAGAGGCATATATATGCCTTTACTCATCAGATAGTCCAAATTACCTCAGCATGATGTCAAACATTACATTTTCATCCAACAAATGAGTGCCCTGAAATTCTTCACTGGATACAGACCACTTTACCATAAATGTTCCTGTTAGGTCCATGCTGACCTAAATCTAGGGGAAGTTCTGCATGCAGGAAACATTGGACAAGTGGAAGAACCAAAATACACCCACCCCCCCCCCCCCCCCCCCCCCCCCCCCACCTTGCTGTCCCATGTTCTTGCTGGTTATTCCATGATGGTTATTCTTGTTGCAGTGAGACAATTGGAAGTAATGCCACCACAGTGGTGGCCTTGTCCTCTGGCCATACGCTGTAATCCAGGCAGAAACTTAAAGCCCACATTCTGGGTTTCAGAAGACTTTGTTTTTTTCAGAATAAATCACAACACAGCCTTGGATAAAATACCTTAAATTATTTTATCATGCAGCTCTACAAAAATCCCCTCAAGTATGTTCGTAAAATACAGAACAATGTAGTTATAAAGTAATTAAAATTGAATGTATCTTGCTTCACTAGGCTTCACAGCATTCCCAAAAGTGGGAATGCTCAGGACAGCTGTAGCTTTAAGATACCAGAGTTAAAGGAAGTTTTTATGGAAAGGCCCTACCTTTCTATAGTGTATCTCTTATGGGAGAATTTTTAGGCTTATTTCTTCAACACGGGTTTGAATATCTTTGTTGGCCTGTTGAGGAAATAAAATTATATTGTCAGAGGAGTGGAAAATGCAGTTATATTAATTTCTGACAAGAAATGGCTGCTAATGTTTGTATGTACAAAGAGAAGCATGATACAATCTATGTTTACAAGAGGATGTGTTTTGAAATCAAGATAGGCTGCTGAATGAAATCACTGGAACCAATTCCATGATACAGGCAGTGGTTGGTACTTTTCAAGACAAGTTGCTTTGAATCAAATATGAGTTTGTATTCATCTGGCTCATGATAGAGAAAAACAGTTTCCAACTAACAGTTATTTTATCATCAGGGCAGTTTTCCACTAATAAACAGAGGAAAATACAGGCTCCTACTGTATTACCAAAAATCTTTAAAGGGTCTATCCTTAAACTCTTTAGAGCCTTCATTTGTTTCAAAAGAAGAAGAAAATAAATAGGAAAAAAAGCTGCTTTTCAAGAAGGAGAGATCTACCATGCCCATCCCTCCCCCATGCACACTCTGCAGCACCAAGATGTGCTCCACCAGCAGCAGGGCACCCCATATATCAGGACACACACCAGAGCAGGACTGGTTGCCCTGGACCACAGCTCCACTGTCACTCCCCCATGCATTGGAAAGCCATGTAAGTATTTAAAAGGTGATGAGCTAGCATGAGCAGATTTTGTGCTGGTATTAATGCCCTGCTGACAAGAGGAAGATCCTACATTTAAAAAAAACCCTCGACATTAATCCTCCTGCTAGTAGCTGAAATAAAATATTATGAGTACAGACAGTTTGAGTCCTGGAACAGAAAGTGGAAGCCAATTGCTTTCTACCTAGAGGTGCCCCTGTGGAGGCCCTGTCCTCAATATAAACTGATTTTGCACTGTGGGGGAGCTGAGAAAAGTTCATCTGTGGGCAGCTCACCCACTTAATGGCACACACTGTCATCAGCAGGAAACTCCAGAAAGCAAAGCTCCAGAAACGCCTCCCAAGCAAAGCAGGAGCTCAGATATTACAAACAGTCTGCCAGAGCCTTTAGCCCCCACCAGTTGCAATGACAGGTTTAAATCCTAAAGATATTCTGCACACTCAGTGCTCCAGTATAATCCTTATGGCCACTTGCTTTAATTCCAGTCTTTCCCAATGTGCTGGGCAAACTGGCATCCACGAGTCAGTGACCTCGCTGGAAATAATTTTCAGGCCAAGTTCAGCAAGTGTTGACAACCAAATATACTAATCTTCTAACAACAGTTCAAGCATCCTAATCCTGCAGTGGGTTAATCTGGGTGCCCTCAATGCCAGGGATTTGCCTTTCCTTGCTGCTAGAAGGGATGGGATTTGGTTGTGCACATTAAGATGGGCACACGGTGAAGAGGATCTGTGTTAGCAATCCCCTTTGGATATTTTAAGAAGGAAAATCATCTGCTTTTCATTGTTGGAGAGCAGAGCAGATCCACCCTTTGACAGCAGGGAAATATCCCTATGTTTAAAGGAGCAAGAAGAGTAAGGAACTCACTAATCTCATATTTTCAACCAGACTTTGAGCTGCCATGCTAAAAATCATTGACTGATCTCCAAATCTTTTCATTGAACTCTAGATTAAGGACATTATTGCAAACATTTAAGTAACTCAAACTAAGCCCTGCCAACTGTTGTGAGAGAAAAAGGGTAAAAGACAATGCACTTCTTTCTCTAAACTGAGCTTCTAAGACGTAATAAAAATATTATCCCCAGATGTTCTCACTTACTGGTTAAGGACTGGTAAGTTTGTCTTCTTCAAAGGCAACCCGAGAGTCTATGTGCAGCAGTGTCCAATGTCTGGCAGACAGCATCCACAGCATCAGATCAGGAGCATGGCAGCAGGAAGGCACAAAGAACCAGAAACTCACCTGTACAACCCACCCCTTCAAACAGGATGGCTGTGAAGAGATGAGGAAAACAGCAGAGCTAAGCGGCAAAGAACAAAGACACATATTTGGCTGGGTATCCTCAATTTATAAACTTCTTAATTGCAAAAAGCTTATTTTATTCAATCCCATGGCATTACTGTTGCTCACAGGACTGTCCCATGTCCTCCTCCACCACTGAAGGAATCACAATACCAAGAGCATTCATTCAGCACTCTGTTTGCTCAGTGTCACTTCTCTATCCTTATTGATTTTAAGAACAAAGACGTATTATTCTCCTGGATACCTCATCACTATCACCCAGGAATGCTTCACAAGCATTTAATTATTTCTCTCCCCACTATTCCATGAGAAAAGCAAAAGCCAGCCCCTTGCATTGACAGCAGTGGAGTTGTCTCTAAGCCCTCACTGGATACAGGTGGCTGTTTTGCAGAGCTTACATGGCCACAGCATGGCCAGGAAGAGAGATATATAGAAAGGGAGGAAAGGCACCTGAATGGTGGTCAGAGCACAAGGTTTTCTTACTTCTGTGGGAGCAGAGAACTGCCTCCTTTTATAGCTGCATCATTCAGGTCAGCCAGAACCTCTCATGCAGAAAGCCTGCTTGAGAGGTAACTCGGGTGGCCTGATTTTCTTTATGGTGCTTTTTTTGTGGCACTTTATATGCTTCAATGGAGTAATGTCACCTATAATTGGCAGCATTCAATGCATCTCTCAATCTGAGCATTTAGAAAATGAGAAATATTTGGATGGCAGCAGCTTTCCAACAAGAGGGCAGCACAAAGATTGAACAGACAACTTCCATTCACAGCAGTTGAGTGCCTCACTTTACTAGGAATACTCCTTTAACATAGCAACTTTGCAACCTAATTATCTAGGTATTTTTTAAAGG